ATATATATATATATATATATATATATATATATATATATATATATATATATATATATATATATATATATATATATATATATATATATCAATCCTCTCACATACTTCTACTTAACTTTAAGCATATTAAGTCTCTCTTTAATCCAAGAAACCCCAACTTTAGCACCTTTAGCACACTTGATATGTGCAATATAGCCAGTATCCCTACTGTAATACAACCAACCTTCCTTAGACACCTTCTTGTTACAAACATTGCATCGTGCAATCCAATGCATATGATTGTTGTCATTGAGAGGAAACGAGTAATAAAGTCGAAGAGTATCCTTTGGTGAATCAGCTCTCTTCGCAATGCTATATAAGGTAGCACAAGTAACATGAAGATCAAAATTGCAAGGATCACAACAGTATAGAAAACTTCGTCGTATATCCTCACAACAAGCATCACAACTTTTTCCACAGTTCTTGTAGTATGAAGGATATCGAAGGGTCAAAGGATGAGCAGGATGAGAATCATGCTTAATCTTTTGGGGCAGATCGAAGCACGAAACGTGTAGGTAAAATTGACAAGGTTGACAACCATAAGCTGAGCCAACAAGTTGCAGCCCGCAGACTTTGCACTTAATTTCATCGTCTCGTTCAACGTCGTACTTGTTCAAGGCATGTGGATGGCTAAAGTGTTTAATCTGCCTGTAGTGAGCTGATATCACTTCGTCATCAGTATCTGAATAATCCACAACAGGACGACGATTCTGGTTAATAATCAGTTGGGAAGTACGACCAGCATAAGAACCAGCACCAGCACCAGCACCTTGTCTGAGGTTGAGCATCATTCTTAAAAGTGATGAAATATCATTCGTGGAACGAGGTGGCTTGTTATGGTTAAACCACTGAGCCTGTCCTTCATCTTCACTTTCAGAATAATCTACAACAGGACGACGAGGATTATGAACTGAATTAGCACGTAACTGATTAGAGTTACGAATCATTCTAGGAAATTCAGAAGCACTGTCATCATCATCATCTTTCCTATTTAAGGATGAACTACAATTCACGTACATTTTTGCCTTTTGTTTTTGCCTTCTTTTTACTTTTGCTTGGATTTCCTTTGGTCCATGTTATTTGAGTATTTATAGCAGTCATATGATTCTTTGCTTAAATTGGACGCGCGCGGAATCAAGTTCTGAGAATAATCAGTCATATATATCCGAATGGCTTGTACCGAAAAAAATGAGTGATCCATAATGAAGATGATGTGAATTATCCTAATAACTTAAGTATGAGGGTTCAAATTATAGTAATAATTGTGTAAATAACTGTTATACTTATACATGTAGTTTAACTTGATGGTGTTAAATTTTTTATGCATTGTCACAATACTACAAAACTTAAACTCGATCGTTTGAATTTTAATGTTATACAGTATATGAAAATACTTTTACCCTATCATTGTACTTTAATATGTTGAAATCGCCAATCTGTCTTATATTTTTAAGTTACTATCCCATTTCTTATGAATGATGGTTACATATTATTATTTAAGTGATCAGCTGGTAGTATCACAAAAATGTACCTAATTAGTGTTTATATTGCATTAACATAAGCCTATATAGTCGTTGCAAAGCTGAGGTAATAGTGAAGACTGAAGACGTAAGATTCATTTGGTATTAGATTCACTTCTATCTTACAATCTGTTAGTACTCTATTTTTTCTTTATTGATATTCCTCAGAGTTACTCTTGACAGTACCAAATATAAATGCTTATCACTAGTTCTTTACTTTCTTTGATTCTTGATCTTATCTCTATCACATTCATTGTACATCTTTCGTTTCCTGCTCCTGCATTTTCTCTTCCAGAATATGTGTTAACCATCTGAATTACAAGCTATCTCGAGCTTCTACATCTATGGAGGTCAGCGACAGGAGGAAGAAGGAGAATATTCTAGAAGAAAGAGGAGAAATGGAAAATTAGGAAATGATCTTCTAAGCTGTATTAACAATCAGAATTGTAGCATATATACACGTCAAAATTGAACATCTAATCTATGTTTAATCTAGCCACTTTACAGTCAACTAACCACTTTCACTACTAAAAAATAGCTGATTTGCGACTGAATATTTGCGACCGAAAGAATCAGTCGCAAATTTGCAATGATTAAGTTGGAATTTTCAAAAATAATATTTGTTATATTTTTTTTAATCTTTTCGATATTTTTCCAACAACATTTGTCGTAACGTCTCGAGCAAAAATTCGGGATAAATTATTGCGACAGAATCAGTCGAAAACTAAAGTCAAACAATTTTATTTGACTATTTTCCTCCGTTTCGGTCACAAATATTTTTAAACTTTGGTCAAATTATTTTTTTAAATTATGACTGAAACGGTCGCCAGTTTTGTGATGGAATCAGTCGCAGATTATTTTAAAAAACCTAGCCCCACCCCAATTTCTTTCTTCTTCTCTTTTCATTTTTCTTTTCGCTTCCAGACCCCCAAGCCCCCACAAGAAAGTCCACACATTTTGGCGGGCCATTCACATTAGAAATTTCTCTACTTTTTTTTGATAATTGAACGAAAATTTTAGCATTTTATCTTTCCCTCCCATTTTTCCCACAACAATCACCCATTCCCTCGCACAAGTGAAAAGTTTAGACATAATGAATTAGGTAAAAGGCCCTCGTCTGTGGAAGTTTAGGAATGCCGTCGGCCTCTATCTTAACTTATTGCTCTCTTACCATCACCGGTAACCATCCCAGGTAACCCAACTCATATGGCTCTCTCTCTCTCTCCCTGCCCTCTCCCCTCTCTCAGAACTGGATTTTGATTTTAGTTCGAGATCTACGTTTCTATGAAGGATTTCCACCCTTGTAAGTTTCTATCTTTAATTAAAAAGATTCAAGAACAAGATTTTCGAGTATCGTCGTTCCTATTCGGCGGTTATGTTTTGAAAATTATGCCAATTAATACTACTTCAATTTTGAGATTTAGGTAGTTCAACTTTGTGGTTCGGTTAAGAAAATTATTCTTACACGCTGTTTGGATCATTGTTACCCGTCGTTTTATAATGTATCGTATTGTATTGTATCATATCGTTTTTATTGATATTATGTTTGGATAGATTGTATTGTATGTTGTTGTTAAATAACATTTTGCTGTTTGATTTGAATGTATCGTACTGTACTGTAACTGATAAGTTTACGAAAATACCCTCAATTGTTTTGAATATTTAATTATCAAAATTTACACATAAAATTATTCAAGAAAACTCCTTTCTATATTTATCACCAATTATGTCTTATATATAAATTAAGCAATTAAATTCATGCAAATTCTATCGAAATTAGTGGAATAAGTTAGAAATATTAAAAAAATAAAAAGTATTAGATCATAATAATAATTTAAAAAATATTAAGTATACTCCATGCAAAATTTAGATCATAAGTAATATTTCCATAACTTAAGGATAAAAATTTAACAACGATGATTAAGAAACGAATGAAAGAGTTGGCAGAATAAAGATAAATAATAATACCTTGCACACTTGAAAACAACCAATATCACAAAGTTAATTGGAGATAAAGTAATTAGAATTGGAATTATAAATCAAAGTAGAAGAAAGAATGAAACAAAAGTAAGGGAAAACATATACCAAAAGAGTTGGAAGCGGCAGAAGGAAAAACGAGATTTTCACGTATATAGGTAATATTTGGGATTTTGTTTTTGAGAATTTATATAGGTTATTAGACTTCACGTAGAATTATATTATATAATTATATGAGAAAAAGACTTTGTTATTATTTAAAATAAAAACAAGGTAAAGGGTAAAATAGAATTATATAGTAATAAGTTAGGGCATAATTGGACAGAAAAATAGGAAACAATCCCACCACACCAAATCGGTTGTTCCAAAAAATGGAATTTTTCATTGTTCCGGAACAATGGATTTAACAATACAATACAACCAATTTTAACTAAACAATCAAAACAAACATTGTTCTGGAAAAATAATACAATACGATACAATGGGTAACAACCATCCAAACAACCTGTTAGTCTCTTTTGTATAGAACTACACATTTAGGCTTCTAGTCAAGTTGGATTGATAACTCTATTAAGATTTCGTTTACATCTAATCTTTAAGTTTTCACTCGATTTGTGTATAATGGGCCATTATTGTTATCTAGCAGGAGATGGAAAGAACTGGTGAATTATTTGACATTCTGTTGAGGTAATATTGATTGTTTGTTGGCAAAATGTGTGCTGTAGCACATCATATTCTTAATATACTACTGCCAAAATGGTCCTGAGCTAATTTAATGAATATATTAAACATAAATGTGAATTTTAAGCTAAGAAAATGGTCCTAAATTACTTTTCAAATTTGATGTGGTTGTAATTTAATTCTCCCTGACAGAAAAAGAGAAGAAGTTGCGGCAAAAGATAGATTTCTTCTCCATACAACAGTACCTACAAGGTATTTCTTTTTTTCTTATTCTTTGTATCCGATTTCCTAGCATTGGACTGCAAGTTTGGTTCAGCATAGTTGGTTTTTTCAAGTCTCTATAGCCATATATGTAGATTTTTCTTGGTGTGATGTTATTTTGTTAAACACTTTTGTGCTATGTTTATTTATGCTCAGTAATTTGATTATTTTCCCTTTTTAATTTGTATATACAAGGGATGCCTTTCCTTAGAGTTCATGGTGATGTATAACTAGTTATTCGATTCAAGTTGTGTTTTCTCTTTTATGCTGTTGAAACTATAAAATTGTGGTTTCTTGTTTGTGGTGTACTTAATAAAGCAGACTAGTGATAAGACTAAACAAAAGCTAACATAATCACTAATTGTCTTTACCTTCTCTGTCGTACAACTTGAAATCCTGAGTTGAGATCAAGAATGCTTGAGAAAGAAATGGGGTTGATATTGTTAAATAGCAATTTATTCTACTTATCAGGAACAATTATTAGTATTCTTAATTTTACATGCTTCTCTGAAAAATCACTGAATTTTACATGCTTAACACATAGGAACAAATAAAACTCAACTAGCATTGCTGGACTTGTCATCTCTAGTTAGCATCTCCTATGCAATCAGTAAAGAGTTAACACTGTTTTTATTGTCATTACAATACTGAAGTATCACAAAGCTTCTGTTTTCGTTGGTGAAATTAGCAATAAATGTAAAATCACATATTTATCATTCTGAATGCTCTTACTGATTCAACCTAAGAAGTTAAGCTTATTATCGCTTCCAAATTTATTACACAGGTGGATTCTCGCAGTAAAAAAATTAAAAAATATAAGAAGAAGAAACACACTTTACCTAGATCAAGTCAGCTTCCTCCACCTATACCAAATATGAGCCCTCTTTCTATGCCTCCTCGTCCTTCTATGCCAGCTTCACAGTCATCTGACTTTTTCAAAGTCCTCCCCCATCTAGCTCGCTTCAGTATTACTCTATGCCTTCTCATGGTGGCTCAGCTTCGACCACTATTAATTTAATACCCACGCCTCATTTCCCAGCTTCTTCCCCGCGTGGTCCTGCTAGTCAAATCGGCAGCTCACCACCGATTGCATCCCCGAGCCATCATAGTAGCCAGTATGGCGGTTCATCTTTTGTGCCTTAGACATCGCCCACTCAATTATCATCTCCAGCATCATCCACTCCAAGAATGTCTAACATGGATATTGGAGGCTCTCACGCAGCTGCATCCCCATCTACCGGTACATCTACAGTTGCTGGTACTGTGAGACATTGTATTGGAGGGATTGTACAGTACAATCATCTTCATCGGCTGATTATCGTTCCTCGTGACGTCGGGTGAGTTTTTATTCAATTTTATTTTAAAAACTTTCAATAAAATTTTGCATATAATGAATTTAACAAAATTTTATATGTAAAAATTAAATGCAGGTTTTTGCCATCATTTCAGGCCGCTCATATGGAGATGGAATCTATGAAGTCATTTTTTGACGAACCATGGAATTCTTGGAAATAGATACCGTACCAGATCAGAATGAATATGTGGCAACAATTTAAGGTAAGATAAATTAATTTTTATTAATACTTATCCTCATTCGTCTAATATTATTTATTCAACTT